TTTTTTTTTTTTTTTTTTTTTTTTTTTTTTTTTAAACATGTCTTTTGGGAGTTCGTTTACCCATCTTTTTCAGGAAATTAATTTTAAAGTTGGTTTGTTTATTTATTTTTGGATTAATACTTTTAAAATTAAAAAAAAAATCATAAACTTTGTATATAATCTATTCTATTGGCGAAGTTTTATTAATATTGTTAAATTTTTTAGAAAAATAAATAAATAAATAGAGACAAGGTATATTTTTTTAAATACTTTTTAGGTTAATGATAGTACAAGATTAAAAGCGCTTTTTATAATTTGTTTTTTTTTGTTTTTGGATTAAACAAAAACGTGTGGATCACGTGCCCACTTTTAATATTAGTGCGGGGGACCAGTCGGCATTGCCCTTAAAAATTCACTACAAAAAGTTAATGCCTTCCCATTGGTTGCCAAAACTTTTTTAAAAAAATTTATAATAAATAATTATAATTAAAAAGTAGATAATTAGAATAATTAATTACATGTCGTTTTCTTTGTCCAATCACATAATTTCCACGTCATTTAATCTTTCACAGTATATATAATTAGCCAATATTAAATCCATAATTCGTATTATTACACAATTTATTATTTTATTAATGGAGAATATAGCTATAACTATAAATTGAAAAAATATATATATATAAAATTTAAAACTTGTTTTATAAAACTGAAAAGAAATTGTCATATGCATTGTGATTGCCCAATGCCAATATTCGCTCTCAATTTCTCACGGGGCAAACAATTGGCAACACGTGCCATTGACCAATAGATTCCAATAAATAGAATCGGCTCCAGGTGATAATTTCCACGTAAATCGGAAATTTTTGTATAATTACCAATAAGTCCCTCATGGGGGATGGCCCTTAACCATATATTATACTTTTGATACCCTCCAATGATTGTAGCTTTGAATGCAAAACATTAATAATTGAAGAAACGTGCTTCATTATTACACCCGTAATATATGACCAAATTCAAGGGCATTAATGTAACGCAACAAACAACTATTTCTCTATTTTTTTTTTTTTTTTAAAAAAAACAGGCCACTTTTCCATTTCTTCCTTATCTATATAACTGTTTAAACCCTTAATTTCCTCCTCAAAAAACCTCTCTGAATCTTCCCACTAGCAATGGCGGCCGAAGAAATCCTCCCTCTTTTCGATCTATTCTGGTTTCAGAGCGCGGTTTTCACCGGGAAACCGCTTTTGCCGACTCGCTTCGAGTCGCCGGAAAACCGCTTACAGAGTCCGGTAATGCAAGTGGTAAAGGTGAGATCTCAAAGCGAGTATCCGCTGAGCTCGAACTTCGCACCTCCGGAGACCGCTTATTACTCCGCCAATCAAAAGCTTCAGCCCATTCTCTCCGGTAAGGTAACGGAATTTTCCGGCGGCGGAGAGGGGAAACCGGCGAAGAAGAAATCGGAAGGGAGTGAAAAGGAGAGAAGAAGAAAAAGGGGGAGAGGGCTGAGTAAGAGCTTATCGGACCTTGAATTTGAAGAATTAAAAGGATTTATGGATTTGGGATTTGTGTTCAGTGAGGAAGATAAGAAGAATTCGAGTTTAGCTTCGATAATTCCAGGGTTGCAGAGATTGGGGAAGAAAACAGAGGAAGAAGAAGGGATTGAAAGTGGGGTTTCGAGGCCGTATTTATCAGAAGCTTGGAAGGCGGTTGAGGAAGAAGAAGAGAAGAGGAGTCTGATGAAATGGAGAGTTCCGGATTTGGGTGCGACGGAAATGGACATGAAAGATCATCTCAAGTTCTGGGCTCATACAGTTGCTTCCACTGTCAGATAACACCAACTTTTTTTTTTTCTTCATTTTCGAGTGTAATTCTGTGTGTGTGTGTTTTTTTTTTTTAATTTTAAATTTGGAAAGTCATAGCCTTTTATATACTTGAAAATTGTATTAAAACTAAAATCCAAAAAAATAATAAAATTTCTCGTATTGTATACGAAGTTAAAAACATAAATTAAGATAGAAATTATGTGTAATCTCACGTCGATTAGATAGAGGAATGAGTGTCAACTACGCTGACTCTAAAGAAGGTGGATTGTGAAATCCCACGTCAGTTGAAGAGAGGATTAGATAGAGGAATGAGTGTCAATTACGCTAACTCTAAAGAAGGTGGATCGTGAAATCCCACGTCGGAACCAAACATTCTTTATAAAAATGTAAAAATCCTCGCTCCAGAAGGGTGGATTGTGAGAAATTGGTTGAAAATGGGAACTAAAGATTCTTTATAAGAGTGAGAAAACTTCTCTTATCAAACCTGTTTTAAAAACTTTGAATAGAAATCTGAAACAAAAGTCCAAATAGAACAATATTTGTCTTAGGAAAATACACCTGAAATTTGCCTTTTAAAAATTTTGAAGAGAAATTCGAAAGAAAAGTCTAAAGAGAATAATATTTGCCAAGCATCCGAAAAAAACATCCGAATTTTTTCTTGATAATTTTTTAGTTCGATTATTTAAAAAATGAATTTCTTGATAATTATCATCAAGCTCTAAATACCAATGGTCAGAATCGTACTTCTTCAATCGTGTGTCTTGACACATTCACATCAATTTTAAAGGAAAACTCAGGCCCCATATATATTTTTCGTTCGGCTTTGAGGCTTCGTTGGACGTCACCCGAAGTTTGTCCTCACCAATCAAACATCACTTGTGTGAAATCAAAGCTTGTTCAGCCACACATGGCAGTTGCGTATCTCACTTGCTTCTACACTAGATCAAGTCATTTAGCCCGACCTTGGTTCTACTCGAAACCAAAGTTTCTCACTGCAACCTGGTCTTTACATTAATTAGCATTACTTAACACAGTTTAAAAAATAAATAAAACTCCTCAATTGGCCACAATAAAATTAGTATATTTCTATTTAAAAAAAAAAAAGAATTAAAAAGAGGCAATTTTTCTCCCATGTTTGAAGCAAGTGGAAATACAATACGAGCGGCAATTTGTTCATAATAGTGGAATTTAAAGGGTCTACTTAAAATAAAAGGATTCCCATATTCTCCAATGCATTAAAAAAACATGACCAAACACTTCCACTAAAAGTAAAAAATAAAATAATAATAATAATTCCCATTTCCATTATTTTACTTTTCCTATCATGCCCTCTCTTTTTTCTCTTTCTAATCATAACCCATTTCCATTCAACAATAATTCAGTTGACTTTCAACTAAAATATTATCCCAGGCCGCAGAACAAGCAGGACATCAACATATGAATGTACATATTGTCAACGCAAAGAAGAAAATAAATATATCCCAACCCGCTACATTAATCGGTTTATCGATGAACGTTCTTATAATAATTACATGAGACGAGATTTAAAATCGTGACTCTTAAGGTCGAGAAGCTGCTCGATCGATCATGGTTGATTTTTGTTTTTAGTTTCATTGCTACAAGGAAGGATTGAGGAAATGGGACATTTTTTAAGGAAATGATTTGATTAATTATGTACGACTATAATAAGGCTATAAATTTATATGTACCAGGTCAATTGTCGTTGCTGGAGATTGACTCGGGAAGTTTGAACGTCGGAGGCTTGTCAACGCCCCGTCGAGAGTACTCTCTCCATCGTCGAGCAGCAGCTGCAGCTCGCTTTGCCCGTTCGTTCTTTTCCTCCTCTGCAGTAATTTAAAGCTAGTTATTGATTTAAACAGGGGAATTGTATGTCGATTAACATATCGATATTGATATTTCAATAAACCGAACGTTCATCCAATGTTGAGCATTTCAGTTTATTGAGATATCGATATCGACATGTTATACATTATTTAACACGTTGATTTGACATTAATAGATAATGAAGATTGCTTATCAAACGTTACCTGAATTTCTTTGATCTTTAGGGCTCCCCCAAAGATTGCTCCAGTATGAATCATCGCTGTCGGAACTCTTCTTCTTCGTCATCCTCACTTTTGCTTGTTCCTGCAAAAGAACAAGGTCTATAAAGCTCCAGATATTACAAACAGAAGTACAGAGCCAAAGAATCATGTGCTCGTCGTCGGCGTGGAACCCACCAAGACTTTTGATTGCCGCTTTTCCCATCGGGAACTTGCCTGCAACATTAGTAGCCACTATTAATAGCAATAATGGAAGAGATTTGAACTTCCGACCTCAAGAGAAAGAGTACGTGTCAATTGCCCTTGAGGCAAGAAAGTTTAAGTCTAGTATAGTAACAGCTCAAGTTTCATCTATATCTACCCCACCGCTAGCAAATAATGTTCTCTTTGGGCTTACCCTTCGGAGCTTTAACCAACGTGGGACATCACAATTCATCCCCCTTCGGGGCCCAACGTATTCGCTGGCACTCGTTCTTTTCTCCAATCGATGTGGGACCCACGCCAAATCCACCCTCCTTTAGGGCCCAGCGTCCTTATTGGCACACCGCCTCGTGTCTACTCCCTTCGGGGAACAGCGAGAAGGCTGATTGTGTCTAGCCCCCTCGGGGAACAGCGAGAAGACTGGCACATCGTCCGGTGTCTAGCTCTAATACCATTTGTAACAGCCTAGGTCCACCGCTAGCAGATATTGTCCTCTTTAGGCTTGTCCTTAAAACGCATTTGCCAGGGAAAGATTTCCACACCCTTATAGAGGGTGTTTTGTTCTCCTCCCCAACCAATGTGGGACATCACATAGAGGGTCTAGCCGTACTTCGACGAGTACTCTGCACCGTTTGGTAACTGACTCTAATACTATTTGTAACAGCTCAAGCTCACCGCTAGCAGATATTGTTTCTTAGGTGTGAAAACTTCCCCCTAATAGACGCATTTTAAAACCTTGAAGGGAAGCACAGCTAGCGGTGAGTTTGGGCGAGTTTGAGCTGTTACAACCATTACGACCATTACGAGGGAGGTTTAAAGTAAAGAACAGGGATTTAAAATGTTCATACCAGTCTAAAAACATCTACAGCTGATGATCCCATTCCAGAGAGCATAAACGCAACCTGGCCATAAAACATTACAATTAGAAATCTTGATTTCTATGAAGAAGAAACGAGTATTAATCCTTCCTCTAGAAACTGCACATTACTTGACGGAGAATTAAACTTACAACTTGAAAATGAAAGGAAGGAATTGATGATTTGTTCAAACTTTCAATTCAAAAACAGTCCAATTATATATTGAAAATCTAGGACAAACACAGATATGGATATTGCTCTTCATTACATACATTCACTCTTTCGACCCGACGCATTTCATCTTCGAGCAGAGATAACTGCGCAGCTGAAGTCCAATGGATGCAATCGACTGGACTGGCAAGAGACGAGAAAATAATAATCAATGGTACCATCAGGTAGATTTATAGCCATGAATATGAAAAATCGGTACTCGAATTAGATTGACGAATGCCCGATCAAAGAACTCGTGCTAAGAAGATGAACATCGAGGAAATAAATTGGTCAGAGCATGTGATCTCGAGCATAGTCTTCAACAATCACTTTCTAAGCCAGATTATAACATGAATGCTTGTAATCATCATAAATCTAATAAAAAGTTCTAACAATTCCCAAGCTATGAACAGCAAGATTTGGTGAATGAAAACATTCAGTTCAGATTTAATCATCATTAAGTGAACTTACCAACTTTCAATTGCTTCTTGAACTTGTTGTCGATTCCCACACTGGCTGTACACACGAGCTCGTCCGAAATCTTCTTCAATCCCGAAGACGTCCGGGGCCACATTGGCACAACTTTTGCAGCCTGGAAGTAAGTTAAGCATAAAGAAATGACAACGGATAAATCATTGCAACTTCAAGGCACATAACCGTTAGTTTGGAATAAATTTTGAAAAAAAGTGGAATGAAAGCACTTTTCACTAATGGGAAGAAGCACTAATTAAGTGCTTTTGAAGTATAAACCCTTGATGAAAAAAATTAAGAGCCATGACTATCCATAATGATATAATGATATGATATTATCCACTTTGAGCTTTTGATTTCCTAAAAAGCCTCGTACCAATGAAGATAGTATTCCTTATTTACCAACCCAAGATCTTTCTCTTCATTAGCCAATGTGAGACTCCTCTCCTAACAATCCTCTCCTCGAACTAAATATACCATAAAGCCTCCTTAATCAAGGCTCAACTCCTTCTCTGGAGCCCTCAAACAAAGTACATACTTTGTTCAACACTAGAGTCACTTTTGACTCGTTTGAGGCTCACAACTTCTTTGTTCGACACCTGAAGATTCTATTGACATAGCTAAGTTAAGGACATGACTCCGATACCATGATTAAATCACGAACCTCCACAATAGTATGATATTGTCCACTTCGAGCATTTTATTGACATGACTAAGACTCTGATACTATGTTAGGAATCACGGACCTCCACAATGGTATGATATTGTCTACTTCGAGCATAAACTCTCGTGGCTTTACTTTTGGTTTCTCTAAAATGTCTCATACCAATGGAGATAGTATTCCTTACATACTTATAAACACATAATCTTTCCCTTAATTATCCCACATGGACTCCTCTCCCATCAATCCTCAACTCATCAAGTAGACAAAACTTTCACATACCAATACAGCTGAATTCATCAACAAACGCAAGATCCTTTGTGCTTGAATCATCGAAAAAAGGGTTGATTGCAGTCAAAGCATATCCATGAATTTCATCATAAACCATCCGCTGAACTGGATCACTAAGCACCTGCAATGAAGCATTTTATCTAAGACAAGTGTCGGGAAACAATAGATCATCTGAATCCTTCATAGCTCGATTCGAGAAGCCTTACCTCATAGACTTCATTAATGAACATGCAGAAATTGGTGGTGTCTGGATCATCGCCACTCAAGTCTGGATGGCACTCTTTCATGCAATTATAATACGCCTTCTTGATCTGTTCCGGGGTCGCATCTGGAAGCTATAAACGACAAATAGAACCATAATTTAAGACTTCAACACCTGAATGCAATCCAGATCGAAATCGAACGGCTTACCAGTCCCAAAACAGCATAATAATCATCGGCAACGGCCTCTGTTGATGCCGAATCCCTTGCTGTGACCTTCAAACTGCCACAGTTCCGTCTCCCAGCGCCGCGGGCAATCGCGCCGCAAGAACCGCTAGGCTTAGCAAAGGAGCGCCATGGGCTTAGAAGAATCGGAGTTTGGAGTTTGATGGCGTCTGTGCAAACAGGAGAGAGCAACTGAGCCATTGGAGAGTAAGGTACTTGAAAATGGAGCGAAAAGTTGAAGAGAAATCAGGGGAAGAGCGGGGGGTAAAAATGGAAAGAAAATGGAGTTTTTGTGGGGCGTTGAGGAGATATTTGGAAATTCTGAGGAGGAAGAAATTTTGACGTGGAAGGGTTGGTGATGACGTGGCGAATTTTCAGCCACTCGAGTCCATGAGAGTGGACCCAAGTAGATAAATCTAGTGGGAGAAGAGGCGGGAGTGTACATTACGCAGAAGCAAAGCACGTGTCGGCTTGTGGATTATTGTTGTCTCACGTGCTAGGGTGCCGTCTGGAATTGTCGAGCACAACGCTAGAGACTACTCTTTTGTCCCAAAATCCGATTTTCAAATTATTAGCAAATATGATAATTATTTTATCGGTTAACTTATAAGTTTATTTTAAATTCTTATGTTTTTGGGCAATAAATTTATGAAATTTAGAAAATAAGCTAATATAACTTTCTAGCTTTATTTTGTATAATCAATTTAAAAAATATTAATTAAGTCTCCAAATTTTTAATTTTATATTTAAGATTTTCATAATTATTAGACATTTTTTAATTAACAATTACATAATATTTAATTAGTTGTCTATCATTAAAAATTTGTCAATTGATTTATAACAAATAGTCAGATTTATTATTTACATTCGAGTTAGAATTATATTATATTTATAATTTTTGCTTATTTTATACCATATTTACTATTATTTTGACATTAAATTTATTTATTTGTCAAGATTCACATAACAAATTCATGTAACTCAAGTAAATAATATAAATAAGAATTGAATTAATTAATATCTTATACTAGTTTTCACCGATCTCATTGTGAAAGACCAATTACTAGTTCATTTATGGGTCCAAAGAGGGTGAGAGCCCAATCCGAAAAGAACAAAGGGATAAAGTAATATAGCAATTTTAACCCTCCAAGAAATCATCAACCATTTTAAAAACATATTTATGATATGAAATAATATATATATATATATACACACATAATTTTGCCAATTAAAAATGAAATTTTTTAGTAAATTTATTTAATTGTTAATTTGTTAGAATTTTTGCACAAAATTTTAATTTATTGAAATTAGTAGTTCCATGAAAAAAAATATTTCATTATTTTCCAAGCAGAATAATAAACTAAATGAAACAGAAATCTAAATTAAATCTATATGTAATTACATTTAATTACATATACTACTCAACTATAAAATAAAAATTAAAAAAAAAAGAATAAAAAAAAGAATAGCAAGTAAATCTAATTGAGGCTGTGCTCAATCACATTAATTTTATGAAAATCTTTAGATTAAAAAAATATAAAGAAATTGGAAATACAAGATTTAAATCCAACAATGAAAACAAAGCTAATTAATGATAGTTTAAAATCCAATACTTATGAATGGAACAAATCAAGAACTCACCATTTTGTGACAAAATAAAAACCAGGTAGATTGATAGCTTAATTCTCAGGCCACAAAGGATATAACTAATAAAACATATGACTAACAGAGTTCTCCAAATTTATCCTAAAAATCTCCATTAAATCCCAAAAACATTCAAAGGAAACAAAACAAAGAGCTTCAGTCAGGCTTACAAAACCACAAAATTTTATAACTCTTTAGACTATTTGCTGTGACTTGTTAAGAATCACACCCTCATATTTCACCTGGAACCACTTCATGGCATCCTCCTTTGTGACTCTGTGCTGGATCCCGACACGAGACTTGCACCTCCTGCGACGTCCAACACGGTATCCTGGTCGCTCCAAGACCACAAAGAAATCCATACCGTAGATACCAGTGGATGGATCGTACCTGAAACATCATTATAGCATACATAAACACGAGATCGGTTACAATAAAACTTCATACATAGTGATGGCAGATTCATCAATGCAAGATCACGTATACCCCTACTCAACATCCTCTGAAAAATTTCGATCTCCAAAGCCACGAAAGATCGATTTACACGTTTGGGATGAATTCATTCAGAACAATGTAAGGACTGCCTTCCCTTCTCATTATTCCAAATACCCAGAAAATTTCTAACCCTGACCTATAGAGATATCGATAACATCATTCACTACGGGTCAGGAGATATCCCTGAGCCAGAACCCTATTCAACCACAGAGAACCGAGCAGGAAAACTACCATCCAATTGACATACACCTCATTTCAGTTAATGTTTCATTTCAAGTTCACCACATTCATACACAACGCATAACAGAATCAGTAAGTCTCATTGAAATTATGGATCATGATATACAAGGGATATTAAGATAGATAATGGCTTACTTGATCCCAAGATCAATGTGCTCCTGAATACCAAAGCCAAAGCAACCAGTATCACTGAAGTTCCTGCGAAGCAACTCGTACTCCTTAACCTTCAGCCCACTTTCCAAAAGCTGCATCGCCTTGTCGCCTCTAACGGTGACATAGCAAGCAATCTTCTCATTACGTCTGATTCCAAACGATCGTACAGTGTATCTCGCTATTGACCACAAGAACAAGAGAATCAAAAATAAAAAACACGAGAAATAACATGGCCTATCAGATCCAATATCAAGCTATGACTATCAAAAGATAGCATCAGTTTCAATTCTACGAATGGATTGTAGAGGTTCGATACTAAATTTCTCGTTGTTTATAGATTTTCTTATTTTCATACGGACCATTCCAGAATCAAAGTCAAGAGACTGAAAGATGAGAGAAAAACATGTACCTTTAGAGAACACGGGGCTCTGGCCGCTGAGTTGCTCAAGCACCTGAACAAAAGGAATCGTTAATGGCGGAGACAGAAATGAGAAGCGACCAAAAGGAAGAAAGAAAATGCACGGAACAAAGTAATACCTTAGCAGCTCTGGTGAGCCGATCTCCACTCTCACCGACTGAGATATTGAGGACGAGTTTCTGCACCTTAATATCCCTCATGGGGTTCGACAACTTCTTCTCCGAAGCCTGCGCCATATGAACAAACGAAAAGGATTAAGGAGCAGGAAGAAAATTTTGGCTATAGAAGCTTTCAGTATCTAGAGCGAAAATAAACACCATTGGAGTCTTCAGGCGGGCTGCTGCGGCTGGGGTGTTGCTGTTGCTGATGCTTCTACTCAATCCAAGGGAGGGGGCGAAGAAACCCTAATATGGGATGAAGTAGCCGAAGCTAGGGTTTCAAATTGGCCGAGTTTATGGGCTTTAGATGTGGGCCTCTAAATTGTTGGGTTATGGGCCTGAAGTTTAAATTTTGTTGCAGTGGCCCAACACCTCCAACGTAATTTCAAACATTTTCTTTTCCGTTTTTCGTTCGAGAACTCATTCTCCACCAGGGGTGCCGACGAAATCGAAATAACCGAGAAATTGAATTGAAACTTAGTTAAAAAATAAATAATTAATTAAAAAATTGCTTTATTTTCAAAACCAACTCAAATTTTGAAAAAAAAATATATATATATATAGTTTTAGACTTAATTTTATTATTGAATTTTATTTAAATTTAAATATTTTTTAAACTACAAAAATCTTATAAAAAAACTTTATGGTTGCTGTGGATTTATTTTCTAAATTTTTAGAAGTGTCTACAAATAAATAAATAAATAATTTTGTATATAATATGTTAATGATTTTTTAGATGGATCATATATAAATTTTAGTTTTAATTTTGTGTTTTAATGAAACTCTAAATTAAAAATTAAAAAAAAAAAAAACTCTAATAAATGAATTGTGGCGAACTTACTATATTAGTAAGTGCAGTGAAATTCATGTTTTTCTGATAGGTTGAAGTGAAATTTTAGGCGAGTAAGTTTTCGGCTGTAGGATTTTAATTATCTTCTAATCTCAACAATAGTTTCGCTGAAAATTGATTCAACTTTAAAAGTTGATTAAGCTTATTCTGTTTTATATACGATGAGGAGAGGAAAGCTCGTATGAGCCAAGAATGTGGCTACTTATAATTCTTTGATAACTGATGCAACCAGAAATTACTCATTAGAACAGTCCCTTGGCCTAATGCAAACCGATAAATAGGAGAGGATTAATTAAACTCATAAGCTATATGAAAAAAAGAAAGATTTTTTACTAAAGAGTATTTTAAATGCGTAATCTCATGGATGAAAGTAACAATATTAAAAAATCCAACTAAAAAAAATTGCACACATTTATATCAAGAATATTAAGAAAATAAGATTTAATATAATTCATTTTTTATTAAAACTCTATAGTATGTATATATATATATCTAGATATATACTTTTAAATTAATGAAACAATAGCGCATGGCTTGTGACCGCGACAATTATGATAAAGTTTAATACTTTTTCAAATAGGAATAAACTATAAGAAGCAAGTGACAGTGATGGAAAACTATAAACAAATAAAAGGAAAATAAATAAAAGAAGAGGAGAGAGACACCACTCCCCCGACCAAGCTGGCATGCTACCCTTTGCCGCCGCCACTCACCCAACCATCGCCCACACCCAGCAAGTTCAAGACAGCAGTTTGAGAACCCCTCCGGCCATGATCATCGGGCACTCACCGGAATCCTAACCAAAACGGTCAAATATTGTATGAAAACATTACATAAACACACTGAAAATGATCGGCGCTGGATTTAGAATGTTGTGCAGGCTGTTTATGTAAGAACTTTCCATTTTCATATACTCTATGATTCACTTCTGATTCTCTCCTACTTCATCAACTTGTTTATGGCAAATCAGCTCTCCTCACTTATTCATTTACACTGACGTTGTCAACTGCTAAATAAGACAACATGAAACTGATGTTAATTAATAACAATTAATTCACTAACAAAGAGAGATTAAACGTTATTGTGTTAAGCTCCCAGAGATCGAAAATGACAGCTCCCTCTATAAAATGTTGGTTCCATCAGGCTGTAAAAGACACACAAATTTAAGCAGCTCTTTCTTGTTCTTTTGAGTTCATTACAACTCTTGTTTGTTCTTTCAATTTGCTTGCTCTTTGTTTTCTTT